CATGGGATTGCTCGCGCCGTATATTGTGCCGCTGTTTTCCTGCGTTAATACTATGATGTGCGGGTGTGATTATCCAAAGATTAACAATTAATTGGATACCGGCCTCCCGTGTTATTGGGAGCGAGCTGGTTTTGGCGTGGAACACGCTTTCCTTGCAGGCCCAAGAAGTGTTTTCAGCTGACGCAGCGAAAATCTGCGTCATCGCGCGCAGCGAGATCTTCGTTCGCGCGTTTCAAGATCTCCGTTCTATATTCGCGCTTTTCAAGATCTCTTTATTCGCGCTGATTAACGCTCCGTTCCGTCACGCGCCGCTCTCTTTCTCATTCGTTTACGCGCTTTGTTACGCTCGTGCGAGTCGAAATCCGCTGGTGCTCGAAACTATATTCCGTTAACGGGCCTTCGGTCCGTCGGATCGATCATCTTTCTGTCGGCGTTTATTTTGTAATCTGTGTATGTGACGTAAATATAGATATTGAGATTAACGATAATTCACTCGTGAGTGAATTGAGAGTGTCCCGTTTAACCGTCGAACCTTCTGAACCCCAGACTATCTTCATACATTCCGCAATTAAATATTTTATTAAATATTTAATAAAATATTAAATAATAAATGTTAAATATTAAATATTGTATTTATTGTTCTATATTTGACTAAATAATTAAATATTTATTTTTCAGGAAGCCTTGTTCCCGCTTTACGCTCCTCCGACTTCTTCTGACGACGAGTGGCAAGAAATCAGTGTTGCCCCGGATCCTACAGAACCTTTTGCTTATACAATTCTCGTAAAATGTCTGCAATTAAAGTTAGAAGTGGAGCTAATATTTGCGAGTCTCACATTATCTACTATTCAATCTGAAATGCTCTTGGATCTAATGTATAGGTAAGATTTCTGAATCTTAGCAAACAATTTAACTTAAACACTTCGAGTGCCAAGCACATTTCGAGCGTGATCTCTGCGGGGCCCAAGAGTGAATTTTTGATAGTTTTGTTTTAAATATATATTCAATGTACTGCAAAAATAAGGTTTTATTCAATATATTTATAAGTAACGAAATTGTTTTTACTTGAGTGAATAAAATCGTCACCCATAGATGGGTGATAGGGCCCCTGCGAGAACTTATGCGTCACTCAGATCTGAGTGACGTGGTACTCAAAGTAAACATAACGAGCTAAGGGATGTATCTAAATTTTGTTTAGAATCGCCAAGGGTTATCAAGGATCCCCTGATCTTCGCCTGACTTGGCTCGCAAACATGGCGCAGCAGCACATGGAAAGGAAAAATCACACGGAAGCAGCAATGTGTTTGGTGCACAGTGCCACTCTGGTAGTGGAATATCTTCATCTACTCGAACCTGGTGACGGCGTTCGGCCCGTAGGAGCCGTTGCTTTGAACGCCGTAACACCAAACGTTTTAGAAAAGAGCGCCGTCGGCGATGACGTACTAATCAGAAGGGAAGAAGGGCTTTGCTTAAACCCTGATTTTTCAGAAAGTAGATTGGCGGGTTTTTTGGAGCACGCGCCTAGCTTTTTTCACGCAACTGGAATGTACGAAGCTATTCCTGACGTCTATAGGGTGTTGCTACCTATAGCAGAAGCTGCACATGACTACAATAAATTAGCTAACATTTATGGGAAAGAAAATTTAAATTGTTTAGTATGATATGGAGGGCACATCTTTTTCAAATTTACTGCATAAAATATTATTTTGGAACTTTTTTTTAGTAAACTTCACGAGGCATATACGCGTGTGGAACAATTGGCCGGCAAGCGTGTCTTTGGGACGTACTTCAGAGTTGGTTTCTATTCTTTACAAAGAGCCAACTTTAAAAAAACTTTTGGAAATATTCTCGAGACTCGAGAACTTTTATGCCGAGAGATTCGGCGCGGAGAATATAGTTATAATAAAGGATTCGAATCCTGTGGATCCTAGCAAGCTGGAACCGGACAAAGCTTATGTACAGATCACTTACGTGGAACCGTACTTCGAAGCACACGGCTTAGACACAGACCTACAGTTTTTCATCGGAATTTCAACATGAGTGAGTATTGATTTAGACAAAATATTTTTTTGTGATAACAGTAATTAATTATACAGTAATTAACAATTTGTTTAGATAATGGCTTTTGTTTTTAGAACGATTTGTTTATGCGACACCTTTTACTCCTGGTGGCAAAGCTTACGGTGAATTATGTGAACAGTGTAAACGGAAGACTATATTAACGGTGACGACACATTTCCCATATCTGAAAACCAGAAATCGAGTTGTGGCTCGAAAACAGATAGTCTTGAGTCCCATCGAAGTGGCAATTGAAGACATACAGAAGAAGACTCTCGAGGTATTGATCGATTTCTCACATCTTAATATTTTTACAGTACACATGTAATACATTTTTATGTAATCTTAATTAGGTGGCTGCTGCAACCGCTCAAGAACCACCTGACGCAAAGATGCTGCAAATGGTCCTTCAAGGTTGCATTGGCACGACGGTTAATCAAGGACCCGCTGAAGTAGCGGTCGTGTTTCTTTCCGGTTTGCGCGAACAAAATGCGCAGCCGACCAGATTGCAGCACAAGCTTCGTTTGTGTTTGAAAGATTTCCAGAAAAAGTGTCTCGACGCTTTGCGGCGCAATAAGAATCTGATTGGTCTCGATCAGCGGGATTATGGAGCTGGAGAGAAATTATCAGAAATTGACCGAGAGATTGGCACCTCTCATTGCTTGGAGGTAAGAAGTTTTAATTAAAAAGATACATATCTTTTCAAGTTTATCACGTTAAAGAAATTTTTGTTATGCTGCTACGTAGTGGACCGTCCTTAATTAATCAGCAAGTCTGTACTCTTCTGCGCTGGTAGGGAAATGAAACACTGCCATAAAAGCTTACCAAAGACTAATGTATCCAATTATTAATCGCGTGTATTGTCATATGGCTAATTCTATTTTTAATCATTATTGTGAAGAATATACGTACGTTGAATCCTTGTTTCATAACAGGATTGAAAAAATTTCAAGTTATTTATAAAATAAATATATATTTAGTCAAAAGAATTTATGAGTTATATTGTTTATAATTTATATGAGTTTTATATACATGTTATGAGTTATTAGATAAATCGACCTTTATGGAAAAAGGAATAAAATAAGGATAGCATTATAAAAAATTGTCGGATTTACAAATTTGTTAACACTAAACGATCAAACGTTTTTAGAACAAGGATTCAACGTAATTTATTTATATAATTGAAATTTTCATACTTATAAGCACTTAAGTATTACGATACGTTGTGACCATCACATTAAATGGATTTACATAGATATGGCCGGGCATTTATATTTAGAATTTGTATTTTATTTTCTCAGTTATTTTTGCTAAAATGTTTATATTACACTGCCTAATGGTAAATTGAATAGGCCTGTTATCATTTTTTGTTCTTATAAGAAACAATTTTCAAATAATACATGTCTTCAATACAATTTCAATAGAACTTAACCTTTTTTTATCTTACACGTTAAATTACATTTTTAGTTGAAAATTACAATTACAGTAAATATTCTCAATAAAATTTTGCATTTGAACTAGAGTTTACAATATTGCCAAAATATTTTAACAATTGAAGGAAAAAATTTAAAAGAACATTTGAAATTGCGCGCTTCCACTTTTGAAAATAGTACCATTTTTATTGTCAAAGCTATTCAGAAAACAAAAGACAACCGACTACTAGCTCTACGTGATGATTGTTAAACATTGTAATGGAGATTACCATAACCTCTGGAGATTAACCATAAAAAAGGTTTTATTATTTATAATAAAAGATTAAAAAAGGTTACGTGTTTTTATTATTAATTGTTTATTTAGTAATACATATAAGAAGGGAAGGTTTAATTATAGATCTATACAAACTTTGCCTTCCTCCCGCCTTGATTTATTTCTTTCATACATAAATTATTATATAATTCTTTTTTATGTAATGTGAAGTGTCTATAACTTAATCCTTGACCGTAAGATATTTAATAATTTTTTTTCTAGAACTTCAATTCAAACATGGGTCGAAAACCAAAGGTGTCTCAAAAAGAGGTTATTGAGTTGATCGAAAAACATATCCATCGTCTTGCAACAAACGATTTTCCACCATATGGAGACACATTATGGAAAACAATGAGCTAAGACTTAGATGGAAGGTGGCTACCTCGTTCTGTTTATACACACGTGAGGTATGACAAACGAGGGGATTTGGCACAAGCTCGACGTAATCAAGGAATTTGTACATCTCCGGAAACGGAACCTTATCTAATTGAAGATGAAATAGATGAAATAGAATCTGATCATGAAAAATTGTGTACTTCAGAACCAGACGATGATTATGTTCCAGAGGACATACGAAATGAAAATCTACAGGAATGTGACTCTTTCGATCTCTTACTTACGAGTGAAGAATGGTCATTAATTAAGCCAGATGAGTCTAAAAGCAAAAACAGATTGAAGACGGAAACATGGGCATCAGTTATTACTAGAGCATTCTGGAAAAGGTACAATTTTAGTTGTGCATTCTGTGCAAAGTGGTCCTACGTACGCTCTCTTTTTAACCCTCAAGATGATGAATATTATTTGAAGTTTTTTGCCTATTGCAAGGATAGAATAAAGTGCAAAAATATAATGATTGGTACAGCAAATAGTGAACCTACCAGCAACGGATTGAGATTGACAATTAAAACGCGTGACACTCGTGGAGACTACCATGTAGATGTGAAGAGACCACTCAGGGGAGCTGAACGGAAGCAAGTTGGAGAAAAATTGCAAAAGCAGAGTGCTGCCAATTATCAAAATGAATTATTAAGAGATAATATGCAATTTGGAGACGATGTTCCACATTTTGTCCAGGAAAATTATATCTACAAGCGAGAATGGAGAAGCACAAAGAAAACGCTGGCATGAAGCCCAATGAAAAAAATGATGTGATTAAATCACTCCAAAAAATGTCAACAGACCCTCGTTATATAAATACCATACACGAGATTGGTTGTATGAAATTCCACGTTCTATATTGCACCCAGGAACAGTTACACGTTTACAACGAATACTGTCGAGTATTAGGAACATCATCAGCAATCTCGATTGATGCTTCAGGACGGTTTGCACAAGCATTTGAAATTTGTCCAGGAAGAATGACTGGTCATATCTTTCTATACACGGTCACAATCAGATTTGAGGGCAAAACTATCTGCGTACATCAAATGCTGAAGAAATCCATACCCAAGAATTTATCGAATTATGGCTTAAATACTGGGTCCGGCTCGGAGCTAAAACTCCAGGTGAATCATGGTCTGATTATGAACGTGGAATACCAATGTCTTCCCGTTTGACATTTAATGGAAAGAGTTTAAAAAATTATATAGATGACGTTTTCGAGTGGGCAAGGACGACAGACAAGAAAAAATCTCGACCAGACAATACTCTCATCCGAATAGATGTGGCTCATCTCATGGCTCTGGTGGCAAGGTGGAAATGCTTGAAACACAAAGATCACCCATATATTAAGAACTTTTTCGTTCGTTGTGTTGCTTTAATGGTGGATACTCAGAGCATAGAAGAATTCCAACAAATTTTTCTTCTCACTTGTATCGTCGCATTACAGGCGTATGAAGACAATTTTGTTTCAACCTCAACTATTAAAATGACGGTTTCAGATGCCAGAAAAGAGCTGGAAGGTCATATGAGTGTTAGGAAAAGCGTTATCTGTGATATTGAGGCTTCAATGACATCGTATCTAGAAGAGAAAGGTAATACGTCCAAACCGTTTGAAGAAGGCGAAAATGGTACACGCACCCATCAATGGATCAAAAAATTAATAGCGTCG